ACGGAAAGTTCGCGTCTTATTTAAGTCGCGTCCTATGTAAGACGCTTCTTATTTTTCCTCGTATAAATGGTCCTAATGTCTGTATGTCTGTATGCACTCTAAAGCAGAGTCACTGCCTTTCCGCGAATCTTTGTTTTTCACTCCCGTATTCGTCAGTGGAGAAGTTTAATGTTTCGTACTTCCCATTCATTATACCTCATCTAAGGAAAGGGTTCGTAGAGAGTCTTGAATTCCAGAAAAAGTCTTGAAATTTGCAAAGCAATTTGTCAGACCTGGAAAAACTCTGAAAAATAGAGAATGGTAGTGGACAAGTGAATGGAACTGGAAAAATGGTAGTGCGTAGTAAGTGAATGAGATTTTACAGAACTTTCCAATGTTCGCGTTGCACCCTGGTTACGGACACTTGCAGTGAATAATGAGAAGTGCTTGGATCCTGCGTTTTTCAAGCTCTGTGTTGATCACTTTGATTCTGGAAAAGAAATTTTTGTTTTAAAAAGAAGTCTGGAAAAAGAGTAGTAATTGTGGATCCAAATGTCTGTACGAACCCTGTATGAATGATGTAGTAGCTCCGTATCTCTTTCTTAGACATGAAGAATAAAGGAAAGTTAGATATGATAGCCTCTTAGTTGCAAGGTATAATGCTGTTATCCTCTTCTTCTGATGTTTTGTCGTCTCGCTTTTTGGATTGGTAATTCACAGACGTATCTTCGACAGTCATTCTCTTGCTATACTGTTCGTCACTAATGGGTCGGTGATCGGTTAGCGAAGCGTTGGCGACTATTAATGATTTAGTCATTCTAGTTGAATTTCTGTCCATCTTAGAATCATTTGCAATGGTTAATGAAGAACAGTGATCGTTAATGGCTTATTAGTGATAATCGGTTCCTCATAACAGACTTAAGTTGCATCATTTTTGCTTAAGTCAAGTAGCAACATTTACATGGCTTTAAACTCTTTCAAAGTTATTTATTGTAAATATTGTACATAATTTGTAAATGTGCGTTACATTTAACCCAAGAGTATCTATTGTCAAGCGGTTTTGCTGATGACTTTTAAATTTTCTTAGATTAATATATTTTTAAATAAAGACGTTTGTATAAACAACTGTTTTCTTCTGTCTCATCACCTTATTTGGGTCTGGTTGGTAGGAGAAGAATGCCATGGATACCCTGGAGGGACACAGTGTCTTTAGTTACTGTCAGTACAGTAAAAACCCGCAACTAAAAACCTACATTTTCCTAAGTTAGCCTAAGCAGGTTCTTACGTAAATGGTAATTAGTAAAACTTTAAGCTATTTAGGTTCTTAAAAAGGTTCTTATTTTCTGTAATGTACCTAAGAGTATTTACTGATATTCAGCTTAATCCTTTATAAATTTGCATGCTAAGGTAGTGTTGCAGATGGAGTGATAAGGCACCCATGTCTCCAAAAACGATCCTGAAGGTCGACTTATCCTATTTGCTCAAGTCATTGTGTAGAGACTTTTGTATATAGATTTTATAAAACAACAACGCTCTTATTAGCGTTGAGTCTCGCTTGCTTGGACATAAGACAAGAAACGAGGAGGCGATGAGACCGCGAGCGGTCGTCCTTCTTTCCTCAGAGCCACGCGCGGCGAGCGAAAAAGTAAAACAAGAACACTCTTACAGCAGCGGTAAGTCTCACTGTAGATTGAATCGAGAATTCAAGAGGCGATTAATTCTACACAAAACAATATTTACCCGCTAAAAGTTTTTCATTTCCTACTTTATCGGCGGTTGAGTATTCTTTAGGATACAGTATTTACTTTTTATTTGTTAGTCTGAATTTACGCGTGTTAACAACGACCGGAAATACGTTTGCGGTCGCAGGCTATACGCGTGTATAAATACAGTCAACTCTCTCTAAGACGGAAACCTTTGGGACGGGCAATGAATGTCCGTCTTATAGAGAGTCAAATAAAGGGAGTAAAGAAAGGCAGGGACCAACTCTAAGTGTCCTTTTTACAGAGGTGTCCGTCTTATAGAGGTGTCCGTTAAGAGAGAGTCGACTGACACGAAAATTCAAGGGCCTCGATTCCAGAGAAATTACATCATTGCAAGAGAAAAAAAAGGCAGTGATTTACATGGCACGTCATTTCAATCATCGCCGAAAACAAACCGCATGCTTATCGCAAGAGCTATTTACATACAATGAAAATTTTCATCACCCGACCATCGCCGTTTTTGCTAATTAAGCCAAGATTCTCTTTTTTTCGAACACTTGAGTGTTCATTTGTTCCAAAGTAATCAACGCTTTCAAGCGATAGAATTCGTGGACCGACCCGTTCTGGAAAAACTCTAAATTTAATCTTTCCTAAGCTTTCTTCGCAAAACATGTGTGGCTACGGTCACCCAACGATTCTTATTCCCAGTTTCCACGGCCTCCACTAAGAACGCCTGGGACCATGACTCCCTTTTTGTGCCCTGAAAACGAAGAAAAAGGGCTTGCAGATTATGAGTCTCGCTAATTTCGCAAGCAAGAAGTATAAAAACCGGTTTCAAATTTGAGGCTAAACAGGTTTTTGTATAGAGGGGGCCTAACTAACAAATTTAAGTCTAACACGTTCTTAGTGGCGGGTTTCACTTATTCACTGTATTCTGAGCGCATTTTGGCCTCGTCCGAATGGCGTCATACCGCCTAAATCGGCGGGAAAATCAAATGGCTGGAAAGTCTGGCACCGTGCTATTTTGAGCATTGTTCGTCTCTTCAGCCACCTAAGTTCTTACCTGGTTCTGTCTGGCCAACCTAAACATCTACAAACGGACTTCAACTGCGGTCTACGATCGAAGTTAGATTTGGTTACAAAAGAAAAGCGGTCCACTTAGGCGGATATAGAACCTCATATAACTTTCACAACAAAACACAAGCAAACAGAATGTGTGTTGTGGTTCAATTTTATCCTTGGTTTAAATTGTATTTTTCGTTGTTTTAACATTATCATACATTACGCAACACGCGACTCTAAGGGATCAAGAAGTATCGCGCAATGGACCTTAAGCGTTGGCGTAAAGGACGCTGGGAAGGGTAGACGAGCCCCATGATCCTTTGCCGTGAACTAAAGTAGCTCCTTCCTCTCTGGATGAGGAATCCACTAGAACGCGCCAGGGTACGAGGCAGACTGATGTGCAAGAATGAAGGTGACAAGGCCAACGGCTCAACGTCACCACCAACAAAGGACGCGATCACTTGAACTAAGAAATAGTTTTCATCAAACCAAACTACTTCACATCAGTTTTCATCACAGGTCGCATGATCTCACCACTTTTTAAGCCCCTGATGTGGTCCGGCTGGGGTTTGAGCTCACAGTTCTTCTTCCAAGAGCTGCTTGTGGCCCCACATTAGCTGCTTTGATTTTTCTTTCACGTCAACTGCAGAAAATTCAAAAGAGGAGCTTAAACTACAACTATTGATTTCTGGCACAATCCTCGACTTACAAGTCAACATGGAAACTACAAGGGAGGCAAAAGGAACCAATTTAAGGTTTTTGTAGAAGATTCCAAAACTGGTCAGAATTCCATGAAAAGCCCCACTCCACACATAACCTTTTGACATGGCAAAAAGAACATTGTTGAGGAAGGGGTGGGGTGAAAGCGAAGAGAACTACATTTTCCGAAGTGCTTTTCTAGCCTGAAAGCGATTGTAGATAAGGATAAGTATAAAAGCCCCCCCCCCCCCCCACCCCTTCAAAAAAAAAAGAATTGAAACTGTCATAATTGATTGTGTCGTTGTAACAACATGCATTGTTTTCGAGTAGTCTCGTTATCGTGTGTGAACGTCTAGGACGTGCATTTGAATGATTACGCAGTTGGTGTAACACTTCTTCGGTAGATACTGAACAAGTCTTGATTTCTTCGTAACTAAACAGCCGTTTCACGAACTACATTTTTTAAGACAGCGGATTTATAACCGATTCATTGCCCTTTTATAATAATAATAACCATGATAATAATAATAATTGATAATAATTACAAAATACATTTTTAAGAGGAGGCCTCCATATCACTAAGAGTAGTTTTCAGGAGAATCCTCTATTAAAAATAACATTAAAAATCCTAAAATGAAATGTTAAAAGTGAGGAGCATATAAATTAAGAACTTTCTTAAAAAATATGTACATAAAGCTAACGCAAGAGGAATTGCCTAAAAACCTGTTCAAATTTCATTCAAAATCATGTCGGGCATTTGTATTTTGAGTTCAATAGGCAGGAAAGACCAATTGTTGAAAACTCTAATTCTCGTTTATACCTTCGAAAACCGACGTGAGGAGAATAATTTATGGAAATAACAGTATAAATTAAATAAGATACTAATATGCATCGGAAAACAAAGCAAGGGTATCTTGTTTATGTTTGTTTCGTGATAGTATGTTCCTCTTTCTCGAGTGTGCTGGGATATTTTAGTTTGAATATAAAAAGAACGTTAACAAAATGATATAATTAAATGTATTTGCAGTAATTCAGAGACGTAAAAGAGCAGAACAAAAGAAAGTTTTCTTTAGCCCGCAGTTTACAGAGAAATTGTGTGGTTTTTTTTGTTTATCTGCGCGACTTTTCGTTTGGTTTGTGAAGACGGTATTACAAAATCGTTTGAAAGCACAGCTTTCTGGTTTTATTCGCAGCTCGACCAGGTATAGCTTCAACTGTAAATTCTGATCAAAATGCAGGCAGCCCAGGCATTCACGACTTCCTATTATTTAGTTAAACTCCATCAGAATATTTGTTCTTTTGTTTCACAAGAGCCTTTTGTCATCAAATTCTTCTATTGAAATTTAAAGAAAACTACAAGCAATGTAATCTTGACATCATCACCAACGTCTTGAGATGCTGAAGTGCTGAAATGTTGAGCCAAACAGAAAAGTTGATCTAAGAAGTAGATCCAGAATGATCTTCGAAGCGTGAAACAAGATGCATGCCTGAAGTAGTTCACAGTTGGTCGCTTACTGAGACAAGAATAAATCATGACGAACCATTGAATCGAAAACAGTCATATTTGCACTTCTTTGCAAAATAACCTACTTCGATCGGCCTCCTCTGTCAGTGGGTCTTGTATAATGCTGAATAAGCACAACTGATATACTTGGTTTTGTCATTCAGCCTGCGATATATTACTGTATATGAGTGGCCAATGATTACAAAACGTAAGATTGTTCTAGTACTGGCAGTCTGTTCATTTGCGGTTTCGAGCCAGCCTCTACTAGGAGAAAGAGAACGTTGTCTTCACTTATGTCGCCTCGCCCGAGAGAAAGACGGCTCCAAAGCACAAACAGCAAATATGCAGGTAAGTCAGTAGCTTTGTGTTAATGTTTAAAAATCTGTTCAAAGGGTAAACATGTAGTATAAAAAATCAATCACTATATAATGGCGATTAGTTTGCTTAATGACCCGTTTTGCACAGCAACTCTCGATAACGATGCAAACGAATACATAGTTATAAAACAATGATAGCAAAGTTACTTATGTCAGATCCCAGCAAAGTTTAAGAAAACGAGATTTGTTAGTAGATCAACACTCAGAGACGTCGTGCACTGCCATTTCTGAACAAAATTTTTTCTATCCACTTCGGTCTAGTTTTAATGTCAGTCTTCCGGTGGGAATATTGTTTATGAACACGTTGTTTTAAACGATAACGCAGTAGTAGTGCGAATCAAACATGAGAAATCGATAAGTTAATATCAAACGCACAGGCTGATAAGAGCGAAGAATCAGTAAGAAAAAAATATAATGATTTTTGTGAGAGCATGCCTCAATATATGATATTGAAATTATTAATACAAAATCGCCAGTTTCTTTTATTCATATCAAGATGAGAATGAAGGAAAAATGGTGACAATGTTACAAATGCGCCTTAGCATATTGGCGTGTGAATCTGTTGACCCTAGCGGTAAACTCATGAGCAAGGCATGTTTGCTCGTTCATTTCTCGCTACGGATCAGCAAACTCAAAACTTTTTAGGGAAAATTTCACAGTAAAGTCCTCAAGTAATTTATATCAATTTGCTAAAAGTTATTTAGTCTCCCTACCACTAAAAGGAAAAAAATTAAAGAAATGGAAAAATTAAACTCGCTTAGCTCACTGTTATGCCCTAAGGGTGAAAAATCAGGGATAAAAGAATTTTGAATTTCTCGTCTCTTCATGTTTGCGGTCTACCGCTGAGTCGGGCTTTTCTTTGACCGCCTGAATGACTTGCTTTTGTAATACAGTGACAATTGTGACTTATCCCCGCGTAAAGGAATCCGGATTCCTGAACTCGGGAAATTTTTCCTTGAGGAATCCTGGATTCGGGATCAGTTTTTACTCGTGGAATTCGCAATCCTCTCCCGGCTTTGGAATTCGGAATATACAGCTCAAGGAAGCCAGAATCCTTCTAACGATTGGAATTTAGAATCCAACTTCCAGTGACAAAGACTAGAATCCACTCTTTGGAATCCGGAATCCACGGTGCCGTGTGGAATCCAGAATACAAGACTGTCTTGGATTCCCCTAAATGGTGCAATTTTGTAAACATGACAATTGTGACTTCCTGTATTGAATCATAAAGCAAATGATAAAAAAGTCGATTTACATGTAAGTTGTCTTCCTTCGTTTTCCTTTTCTTGCTAAAATGAGCTGCTTGCAATTCAAGCCACTTTTTGAGTATATTGCGATCTGTGTTTAAAAGGCATAGTATTTTTTTTAACCTTGTTATGCTCGGACTGTAATAGCTTTTTTCAAGAATAAACCACAAAAAAGAAACGTTGTACGTCTGTTGGACGTTGGTTGGACGTCTTCAAGTGAAGCATTGAAGGTGACATCTGACAATTTAAAATGGGTCAGGAGCTTAAAAAAAGAGTTATTACATTTTCGTAAAAGCATTGCTTCATACGTTTTGCTACATATTCTTAGTTTAGTGCCAAGCGCACTCAAATAACCGAGGAGACTTCATCTCAGATGATCACGCGCCTTCAGAAACGTTCTGTACCGTAGCGTTGCTGCCATTTTTGATAGCAGGAATTTCACTTTTCATCTCAACCGTGCACCATCTTTTAAGCAGTACTTTTTTTACAATTAGAAACATCTACGTGAAAGACAACGAAAACAGTTATTACCAGATTAAGCCTTAAATAAGCTGAACACTCTTCAAAACTAAATGTTTAAGGTAATACAGGTATTAAAGTTAACCAAACAGCATGTGGCACCTAACCACACACAAAGTACACGTTTTTAAAAGAACTTTATACGTGCCACTAAAAAAGAAAGAGTAAGAGGGAAAAAAAAACATAATCATGTTTGGAAAGTTAAAGGTTATTAATTTAATCATAAAGTGACAAAATTAACCGAAGGCTCAAAAGCTCCTTTTCAAAAACTATCTTAAACTAAATGATTTTTTGCTTCGTATGTTGACGTATATGTCCTAAAACAAATTATAATCAAACGAGCAGGTCTCCATGATTGCGGTAAAAACCCAGGGTAAAAACCCGCTCAGTAGTAGTGGGGTAGTGGTATTTACAAGTTCAAGGGCTCAAAAAGTTTGGCTGTTCTACGGCTGTCGGTTATTTTTCCGTTAAGAATAACAGGCATTCAAAAAACGCATTAGTAACAGATTTATAAGTTGAAAATAAATTTCCATTGCTGCTAAACGCAGGTCTCATCCTATAAGTAGTAGGCCCGGTTCAAACGCCGCTCCACTCATGTGCCGAACCTAACTGATGAATTAAGTGCGGCAAAAGAGCGGCGTCTGAATCAATTTGGTACGGCAGTTTTAGTTTGGTCCGGCAAAAGCGTCAAGTTCGACAGAGTCTGTCGAACTTAACTTAGGTTCGACACACGGTACGCCGTACGTCTGAATCAGATGTCGCGCCAGTGTCGCTCCAAAGTCGAACTTATTCAGTTAGATTCGGCACATGAAAAGTACGGCGTCTGAACCAGGCCTAAACTTTTTTTTGACTTTCACGTATGCTTTTATAAGCAAATTGAAACAATCAGATTTCTTTTATGTTTGAATGGCTGGGCCGGCACTCAGTAAAGTTATACAGTAAATACCCGCTTATATAAGACAACAAATGGCGGATTAAGAACATCAGAGTGAAATTTGGCCCATAAAGCACCATATAAGGATCAGTTCACCCTGATAAATAAAACGTGTTCTTATATAATAAGGGAGAGGGTTTCGGAGTAAGAAAGCAATGTAACTACGGTTGCTAACGCTGCTAAGCAATTACAAAGCTATAACCTTTAGGATTTTATGCTCCTCACCAGAGGATCGTGTTATGCTGCAGCTGGTTGAAGCCGGGATATAAATGTCAAATACATTTAATAAACTATCTGAATAGAAAAGATCAACTAATTTTTTTAATTTTTTTTTACTCCCTGATTTCTGAAACAAAGTTTAAGAACATATTATTAAGAGCATCTTCAGGTTGATTTCTCACTAAGCACCCGATGAATATAAAGTAGATCAGCCTGAACCACGAAATCATGTGTTCTTATATGCGGGTGTTTACCCCCTGGGGTGTTCACATGACACCGGGGCGACTTTCGCGCCGGCGTGAGTTCACTCCGGTTCCCTCCCGTGGCTATGTTTTCGTGCCGTTGCGAGTTTCCCAATGACATGTAACACCCCCTTGTAATAACTGCGGTTCCATTGCTTATTTTAATAGTTTGGTTTTCTGCTCTTCAGGCATCTAGTGGAATTCTATCATGCCCTCAGTGTCTTGGTAGAAACAAAGGTAAGTTGCAACGCATATACGGAATAAATCGTCAACATTTTTATGAAAAAAAAAAAGTACCATGACGATGTTAGAATCTTATACGGCTGGCCTTAAACGAGGTAAATCATGGAGGCAGTGAGGAGGAACGGGGGGAATGGGGAGCTAGTGAGCTATACTTATATAGAAATTATACTTAAATATGAGAGGACATTCCAATGCTTTCTTTAAACAGAGAAAGATGATTTAACTGTGCCAGGCTCAAGTAAACATCGAAAGCGAAAATCCCTTTCCGATCCACAGCCTACTTCAGGTAAAGCTCTAACTCTAGATCTTACTACTACGGAAAATGCAAGTCGTTTTGTACACTGTTTACAGTATGCACTCCTAAATTGTATGATAAAAGCACAATGATTGGAAATTTTTTTAAAAAAGCATTTTCCTTTTTCCAGGTATCTTCTCGGTTGTATTAAATAACAAAGGAGAAGAAAAAATTAGCAGCAACTCATATCTGAAACATGCCTATTTAGTTTATGCATTTTTGTATAGATTTAGTTACAGTTATAAATACGAACTTACATGCAAACATATTTCAGATTGCCCGTTGCCGTCAAAAGCACGATTTGGGGAGTGGACGCCATCAGAAGTAAATGTAAGCTTTGGAAACTACGGAAACACCGACTATTGGTACATGAACTGCTCGTGGTCTCCTATGAATGGTAAGCAAATCTAATCAAGAAAATCCGACACGACAGAACCTTGAGGTAATTAAAATAAGGGACTTGTCAGAAATTAGCAGGGGGTGAGGGGGTGGAAACAGAGGGAGGGTCACAACTGTTTGAGACCCAGAAAAGGGAGGGGTCATGAAAAGTGGGCCGTTAAAAAGGGGATGGCCATGCAAACATATGCCCTTGATCATGTAAGGTTCACTCACAGAAGAAAAAGGAAGTTCTTTGTTTGGTAAAAAAAAAAAAGAGCAACGGAACATTATGGATATAAACTGTGAAGTACTATTGCATCTACTTTTCATTTATAACAATGCTATAGAGTCTTATTGCAATTATCAATAATGTTGTTGTTAATGTTATTAGAGTTTTGGCTATCCTTTTCATCACTGTCTTCAGCATCAATGCTGCTGTTAGCATCTTGATCATCATCATTTATGTGATCAGCATTTTATTTTGTTTATTTTATCTTATTTTATTAGCTTCGCATTGATACAATCACTTTCATCATCATCATGATTTTAATTTAAGTTAAAGCGTAGATATTGCTTGATAATGTCCTGTGATTCATTGGTGAACAACCCTTCTCAAAGGCATTTTGGATATATGGCCTTTGCGTTTTGAGGAGCCCACTTATTCCTTCATAATGAAGAGATAATGGGCCAATAGGCTCTGTAACATCATGCGACTCTTGCTGAGGTGCAATGGTTTCAATAACTCTTTTGCAGTTAGCTTCCATTCTTGTTGCCATAGGCTAGCTTTCTTTGCTTTAATTTTTAATTGTTTCCGTTTTTTACTTGTTGGCTTGGAATACTGCACCTTAAAGAGCCTGGAACATTTTTCTTTCAATTCTGTAAGGTGGGGAGGGTCATGATATTTTAGGTCAAGCTCAAGGGAAGGGTTAGTAAATTTCACTCCCACTGCAGGGATGGGTCACCTAATTTCCGAACCCAAATTTAAAATTCCCCCCCCCCCCCCCCCCCTGTTAATTTCTGACAAGTCCCCAACTCTCACTGGAATTAGCTTGTCAGTGAGTCTTCAATGCAGTGATTGCAAGTGTCCTCCAGAATTCAACACTTTCAAGTGTAAATAGAGGCCATATATCTCAGTTTGTTTGATATGTTCCTTACATCTTGCAGATTTTGGTGGTAAATGGAAAAGGATTTTGATTCGCCTCGGGATCGGAAATATCTCAGAAGGACCCGATGGACGTCTTACAATTCATCAGGGAACTGACCTTATATGCTTCGTATTGCCTAAAGTAAGGAGAGCAGTAGTAGTTTCTAATAAATGTAATTTCCCGAGGCGAGCTTGATTCAACCATGCAACTCGGCTTTGTTCTCAGTTAAAACTGTGAAAGACAGTTAACTCAGAAAGCACAGAAACAGCAATATAATACACACAACAATTAGTTTATTTAGTAAAAATTTTTTCTCCCGTTGGCTTAAATATAGCTCAGTGGATAGAGCGTTGCGTCCGGTCGTTGTAAAGGACAGGGTTTGGTTCCCTGTCAAGCCTGAATTTTTTCAGTTTTTTTTCAACCGCTTGTGAGGTTGTTCTTCCTTCCGCGAAGATCATGCCCCACTTTCATACTGATTTTTTAGTTTATAAACTGGATTTTCATTTGATTGATTTTGTTTGTTTTAGAACCAAACGTTCCTTCAAGTTAACATCTCTTCATATCACTATCCTTGTCCAAACCTTATTAATCTAAAGGTGAGAAAAACGAGTGAGCTATTTTAATGACTGAAAAGAAATGATAAAGATTTAAACGAAATGTACACTACGTTAAATGGCCTTTAATAGGGGTTTTCACATGACGTCACCAAAATTCAAACAAAGAAACTATCGATTCTTCTGAGTTTCTACTTTCATGAGGTATTATAGCACCTAAAAACCTTTATTTACACAAATTTTCGGTTCCAAAGGGTTCTTCGTTTTGTGATAGAAGACGCTTGAATTTCCAGGCTTTAGTGTGATGCGGCATTTAGCTGGCGGCCGTGAAAAGCTGTTATGTGGGTTAAAAACGTTTTTACTAATTTTTTGAGATTTTGCTATCTAAACATTCATTGTCTTGGACTAAATATTGCTTTTCTCAAGCGATGAATTCACGCATAAGTAGGAAAATGCAAAAACAGATGTTCTGTTGGTTTCCGGCGGCCATATTTGTGCCCCCTAAAAAGGACACCAACCTGGCGTCTTCATACAAAGCCTTATAAATTTGGGTAAAATATTTTTCTGAATATCTCGCAAATGAATTATCGCACAGACCTGATTCTTGGCGAGGCTTTTTGTATATTTATCATAATATCTTTCGTTTCCCAGATTCTGGAATTCCTGTTTTGACTGTTTTTCATTTTTATTTTTAGATGGCGTGACATTGAAAACACAGAATAAAAACAAAACGTACTATTTTTTGACTGACGTGCCACGCCCAAAAAAAAACAACAGCAACAACAACAACAATTTCGAAACAGATGACGAGTATGATTAAAGTGGAAACTTACAATTCAACTTTTAATATTTTATGATTTTTTATAAAATTCTTTTCTCTCTTTCATTTATTTGTTATTCCATAGGTCATTGGCCTTCCGTACCTCTACCCCATTAGTTTATTAACACCTTATACACCATTCTGCGCAAATAATGGTAAGTTTTTTGGTAATCGACTTTGAAGTGAAACCTCTCAGCTGCGGATTGTGGTTCCACTTTGAGATTTAAACATTTTGACGTCATTTCTATGGTTGATAGGAGTATAAACCATGGAAAATTTTTTTTGCACTTGTTAACTTAACCCGATATTCAGACCGGGCCTTTTTGTTTTGCTGTCTGCGACCGCTCATGACACGGCCACCAAAATTACTCTGAATAGTGTATACTCACCATTTCCAACATCAAGGTATGAAGTGATTGACACAACGACGTATTCTGACGTCATTGTGACGTCATATTGTTGAATTTCTTGGCAGAACCCAAATTTCATCAATTTCTCTCCTTAAAGTAGCTAGTAAGGTGTCTGATAAGATCAAGAAGTTGGCTAACACACAAACAATCTTTTAACAATAGTAGTGATGTCATGATGACGCCATTTATTATTGAAGTAGTTACTGGAATCGTCCGCCACATTGTATTCCATTGTACTTAAGACCTGTACAAAACAAATCTGCAAGCAAATGATTTGTATTGGATTATAACTCGTTATAATGTCACTTGTTTTATATAAAAATTACATTACGGTGGAACCTCGATACAACGAACCTCTTTATGACAAAGTCCTCGGTATAACGAACGATTTTCTTCACCCCGCTGGTAGTAAAATATATGGAAAAGGACCTCCATATAACTAAACCTCGATAAAGCGAACACATTTTGCCATAAAGCCCCTTGGCCCTAAGTTAAATCGAGGTTCCACTGTGTAGTCTTGAATGTCAAAGAAATCTGATGTACTTCAAACTTNTTGTTGAATTTCTTGGCAGAACCCAAATTTCATCAATTTCTCTCCTTAAAGTAGCTAGTAAGGTGTCTGATAAGATCAAGAAGTTGGCTAACACACAAACAATCTTTTAACAATAGTAGTGATGTCATGATGACGCCATTTATTATTGAAGTAGTTACTGGAATCGTCCGCCACATTGTATTCCATTGTACTTAAGACCTGTACAAAACAAATCTGCAAGCAAATGATTTGTATTGGATTATAACTCGTTATAATGTCACTTGTTTTATATAAAAATTACATTACGGTGGAACCTCGATACAACGAACCTCTTTATGACAAAGTCCTCGGTATAACGAACGATTTTCTTCACCCCGCTGGTAGTAAAATATATGGAAAAGGACCTCCATATAACTAAACCTCGATAAAGCGAACACATTTTGCCATAAAGCCCCTTGGCCCTAAGTTAAATCGAGGTTCCACTGTGTAGTCTTGAATGTCAAAGAAATCTGATGTACTTCAAACTTTCTCACATGTCTTGTTGTTTACTGCACAAACGTTTCGCCCTTCGGGCTTATGCAGTGTACAAATTTTACAAAATTTAAAATCAATACCTGGAAAAAAACTGTACCGTCAGCAACCTCTGCAATAACACTGGTAAGTTTGATTTAATTACTCTCTTCAAGTTTGTGTCATGTTGTTTTAGTCACCATCTTATTTACTACTGTCTTATACAGAATCATCAACAGCCTCTGAATCAACAGGTAAGTTCGATTTAATTACTCTCTTCAAGTTTTTGTCACGTTAATATAGTCACCATGATCTTATTTACTACTTATACAGAATCATCAACAGCCTCTGAATCAACAGGTAAGTTCGATTTAATTACTCTCTTCAAGTTTTTGTCACGTTAATATAGTCACCATGATCTTACTTACTTCTTATACAGAATCATCCACTGCCTCTGAATTCGAATCAACAGGTTAGTTCGAATCAATTATCCTCTTCGATTTTGAGCTATGTTAATGTAGTTCTAGCGCTTTTTTTGCAGTCCAACATGAACTTTCGTCCTTTAAACCAAAAACATTTTCCTGATTTTATCCTTTTATAATCTGCCTTTTATGTTTTAAAGAATCCAAATACACTGACTTGAAAATGGCACCAAAGATACTTTTAAGAATACTCATGAAAAATATTGTCGAATTATTAATAATTTGCTCATTCTCAAAAAAAAGTGTAAATATGCATAAAACTTAACATTTTAAGGGGAAAAAAAAAGAATAAGACCTTCGACGAACTGGTCTAAAAACTTTATGATCAGCTATTCAATGAAGTCATAAAATGCTTTTCTTTTAACTATTTATAGGCCCATCAAATCTCTCTACAATGCCAGCTATAACAAAAGGTGTGGAAACGTTTTTCCCAATATTCAATAATGACTGACTAACTTATCAAAGAACTTGACTTAAGTTACTAAAATAGCTCAACTGATGATTGGCTTGTATGGTCCCTTTACGGTGTCTTCCCAGGCGGGCCTTCTACAGTAAAACTGGAAAAACCGAACGTGAATACCAGAAATATTCCTGAATTATTTAGTCTTTGCCTCACATTACGACTTCTCGTTTAATAAAGACTGTAACTAAGCTCAGTTTAACTCCAATTGCCCGTTGTCATGGAAGTAGAGACAAATCCGGCTAGGTCAATTAAACTACTACAAAAAGCTGTACAGAGACACTTCACTTGATTTTTTTTTGCTACGTTTCCTAAAATGATTGCCATGAATTCAAGAAATGTCTTCGTCTTTCACTCAGCCTCACACAACGACGCAAGCATAAGCTCAAGCAGCCTACGCTGACTCAATAATGTCAATAATCTGCATGATTATCATTACAGCACAAAAATGCTATGATCTTGCGCTCTAGTCTTTTCTGAGTATCCATGTTTCAAGCCCGCCTAATATAAAATTTGTAACAGGTAATAATACAAATCAAAATCTGTTATATAAGATAATCAGCCGGTTTCAATGTTTCACCAGGTTTTAGAAAAAAAGTAGCCCATGCAGTATCCATGTCGATTGGCACCTTAACAGGCCTTGTCTTGGTTGTTGGTTTGCTGGCGTATATGTTACGTAGCAAAAGGCGCAAGAAGGCTCCTGTACCCTCAGGTATGTTTTGTCTGTATTCTTTCGCCGCATTCCCGTAATTTTTAAAATCGTTTTTGTAATTAATAAACAGAAAACTGAGTAGTCTTTTTTTAATACTTGAAATGTTATGCCTTCCTTTCATTATAGATTACAAATACCACGTGTTTATAATATACAACAATGAAGATAGATTATGGATGAAAAAACTCCTAACATTCTTAGAAGACAAGCATAATTTAAAGTGCTGCGTACACTACAGAAACTGGATCGTCGGGAGACCTTTTCGAGACAGCATGGCAGAAAGTGTCAATAATAGTTACAAAATAATAGCACTATTTTCAAGCAATTCTATAAAAAGCAACTACTTCAGTTATGAATTAGATCTTGCGATAGACCGACAAGAGAAAAGCGGAGATCATAGTTTGGCTGTGATAAGAATAGATGGAGTCAACTTTAAAGAACTGCCATCAGAACTTAGGAACAAAACTTTAATAGACTGCAAAGACCCCTCACAAAGGCTAATTTGGAAAACAAAGCTGCTCGAGTTTCTCGATTTGCCACTTGATTCTGATAATAACAATGCAGAAGACTATCAAGTTAATATAAACAATGGTGTTACAAGGACTAGATTTTCGAGGCTTGACAGTACGACTAGCAACGACTTACAGACACCCTTGATATAGTGAGATTTCTAAGATTTTTCATAGGAGAGCATAACAGTACCAGGCTAAACACGTTTCTTTGATTCGTCCATTCGTATCAGATTTTTGTTGACAGTTATCAAATGCATAAAAACTGATAGTTCAATCGCTATACTGGTTACGCTGGAAGTTGTACCACCAACTTTGGAACTAAAAAAAACAGTGACGCAAAAATTGATCACTACGAACCAAAGCTACAATCATTGATAAGAGTCTTTGAACAAATTTGCACATGTTCCTGCCCCTCGACTAATATTCGCCAAACAAACAAATGCAAGCGAATGAGATTACTTATGCCTACAAGCCCTTCCCCCACCCCCACAATGCTATGTTATGATTTACAAGTTTTACGAGTTTTTGTAAAGAGTTCCCGAACCAGTTATTAAGCCACTTGCCTTATTGCGTCACAACAGGAACTAATAAACTCAGTTTCGTTTTTCAGAATTTGATAACCTCCAACCCCCCAACCCCCCCCCCTCCCCCCAAAAAATGTTTATTATAATAACAAAAGGCTAAAGTGAAAGAAGAAAGAAATCACAAGAAAGTAAAACCCCGATCAAGACTTTGGTAGCACTAGGTACTGTAGTAGTTAAATTAAAATGATGTCATTGTGCATATCGCCTTAAGTGTTTATTATCTAGTACCCTAAACATGAAATCAGCTGCCCGTTATATTTATCTTTATGTACAACACGTTATGTTTATTTATACGCTAAGCTAGTGAGGAAGTAAGTATCGAAAGCTTCGTGCATGTATATTAAGTTTAAAGTGCTTTCACAGACAGGGGGTAAGGCTCTTGTACAAATATATGAAATAAAAGTTTCATGCCTTTTACTCACTGGACCCTCACTGGTTATAAGTTCAACCCCTAATTAACCTGCATTTTTTACCTGAAATACAAGTAAAAACACCAACGCTACAAGCTCATGGATAAGTAAGAGTATTTACCAATTTCGAATCGTCTATGATACAGTTCTTCTGCCTCACAAAATTTTGTATTCGCCACTCTCAAATCTCCGAATTGTACCTTGTTTGTCCCTCAAAAATTTTGCATAAGGATGGTCCTCAGTTTCTCTTGGGTCGACCTCGACAATGTTAAAGGAGTATAGGGGACTGTCAGAACAGTCTACTAAGCACCAGGCCTTGGGCTTTCCACAAGTTGCTCGAGGTTTTCCAAATAGTTTCCCGTAATTTCTCAAAAAGTTGCTCAAAAGTTGCTGAAGAAAAAACCAATCAATACGGCTTTTTGTAACGAAAGTTGCTCTGATGCTAAAATAAGCAAATTGTACAACAAAAGTAAGATTTCTAAGCATTTTGTGCAATTTTGCGGCGTAACCAGTGTTGCTAAATAACTTTGTCCTCAATTAAAGCCAAAAATGTAATAAGCCAATAAAAATTATTGTTAATGAATGACCTTCTTCACCCGCGACACAAAGTCGAGTGTGAATCTTCGCCACCATTTTGAATTTTCTCTATCACCTGACCTTGTATCCCGGCTACTTAATATTGCGCCCATGATCTGCCCCAGGCAGGGCGGAGGGTTTGGAAGGGGACTAGGATTTGACTCCTTTATTTTTTACAGGAAAATCATAAGTTGTCTACTAAAACGTGATGAAATATGGAAGGAAGGCAAATTAAAGCACTAAAAGCTGCTCTGGTATCTCAGAATTAGAGGACAACTAGAGAAATTGCTCAGAATGCAAAAAGTTGCTCGAAATACGAGAAGTTGCCAAGCAACTTGTTGAAAGCGCTAACCAGGCCCCGCCAAGTACCGGTGTTACAGTGATATGGGAATCCCCCGTTTTGGGCACCCCCATTTCCAAAACCCTAGTGATATGGGCATCCCCCTCTCATATTACGTTAGCGATTTGTGTTAGGGTTACAGGGATGCCAATATCACCAGGGTTTGGGGAATGGGTATGCCCAAAACGCCGGGATGCCCATATCACTGTGACACCGGGGCCACTATCTGCTCGAGCACTTTTCTTGGTGTACCTGCTCAATATTAAGCAATTATTGCATGGATTCGGCTTTAGTATGATCTGATCAGAAAAATTAATATGTAGACCCAGGAAGGAGGTATCCGCTGAGTCCACGGAATGTCTAGGCGGAAAACACTTCTCCTTAACCTGCACAATTCTCAGGGGCACCCAGCAACTTTTTTTTTTATAAAATAACTGTTCGAAGGAGCAAATATTGCCTAGAAATTTGTAAAGCTTGAGAAAAGCTAAAAAAATTCTGGATAACCGTTCCATTCGTCTGAAATATTCGGACGTTTTGTAATAGTTTAACTACGATTTTCGGAGGTTGTGTTTATATTCACATATCAATACCAAGACATTGCGATTATTGTTTAAAAAAAAAAGGTCTCCTAAAACTTTCGGTATAAAGACAAAACGTACCACATCATTTTCTAATGAAAGCAAGACTACTTCATGTCCTCGAACCTTCGACCCGGTACCCATAACGGTAGCTAACACTTTTGGATGGAAAATCCTTCAATAAGAATGACCGAGAGCAGGTTAGCCCGAGAGACTGATCAGCCCACCCAACCCTTTGAGGTAGGTACTTGATGTATGGGGACATATATTGTACCGACTTAACTTGCATAAGTTACACCTTCCCTTTTTTTTGTCTTCACTAAAACTGCTGGACGCCACAACCTGGTTGAGGTCGTAGTTACCTGAGGTCTTCCTTTCGGATCAGACGAAAAAGCCACCTAACACTTTCGTAGCGACCAAAGTTCCCTTAAGATATCCGAACAGATAAATAGTTTTTAGGGCAACTCCAAATTAACCAAGCAGGCTTCTAAAGCACAAAGAACACCATCTCAGACACTTCTGGTGTATTTGGAAACATTTGGTTGTTGGGTGCCCCTGAATTCTTCAGATCATCAGCTGGATCATACCTGTCATACGAAAGCTGGATCCAATAATTGTTTTATTATTCCTGAATTTAC